GGTAGCGCCAAGAGCATCCCATGTTCAGCCCCTACTAAATAAGGCCTAGCCTACATTTCTTTTTCAACATCAATCGCAGCACCAATTCGAATCCGCCCACACGCGTTTTAATCGATTGGCTAGTGCATACCCCTGGCCCCTGCCCTCGCTTCACGAGTGACCTCCCCACTGTAGATTATTTAACCCTCACATCTCCGTACATGTGGTTCAGGTTCCTTCCTCACTCGACCTCGGCAGCTGACTCTGGGAATTTTGCTCACCTGCGCCGCCGCCCTGGTGCCGGGCGTCAGCAGCCCCCCTTGTCATCCGTGTTGTTGTTATTGTTTGTATTGTTATTGTTGTTGTTGCTATCGGCCAGACATGGCCGGGCCGACCTGGTTGCTGCTCTGTGTTAAAGCCGGGCCAGGCGCACCAGCCGGGACAAGCCCACCCTTGGGGACTACTTATCGCAGCTCCTCCTCCTCCCGCCTTGTTGCTCTCGAAGCGAATGGAGTCGCCGGCATATGGTTGCTGGGGGATGGGTGGAGTGAGCCACGGCTGAATTGGTGCAGCTGCAGCTTGCAGGTGCGTCTTGACGAAGGTGAGTGATTGCAGCATATCGAACTATTGAGAGGCTTGGCTCGAACACACAATACACACTTCGGTTATGTCAGTAAGGGTCTTGGCCGGGACGCAAAAGTCCTTGGGGTTTCCGGGGAAGGGAGGAAAAAGAATGCGCACCGGCAATTCCGAGACGCCGCTCCGGACGAGCGCCTGCAGATTACCAAAGCTGCGTCTGCTCCGTGGTGGTGGTGGTGGTGGTGGTGGTGAGCTCGTGTCTGCACAAGCAAACAAACAGGGCTTGGCGGGGCGTCTGCGCAGGAAAGTGCCAACCTATCCTGGAATGGGCAAAGCTGGTCCCCACCCCCCGATGCGCAAAACACCTCATCAAGGGAAAGGCGTCCGGGTGATGTTGCCAAAATTACACCACCGCAGCTGTGCCAAGGCCAGACCTACTTTGAATCAATTTGCCAGGTCTAATCGCGACATTCATTCCCCCATCGCTGCTTCTGATTGCAGGCAGTGGCTGACTAAGAAAGCAGGCTCCGAATGAGGCTGTTCACATGCATGCGACTGTAGAGTGTACCCTGGGTTTTCTGCTGACGAAGGGATTATCGTCCTGTCCTGATGCGGCGACTCTGGCCAGTCGGCTAATAGTCAGCCATTAGATCCGCAGCGCAGCCCCATTTCCAGCCCCAGCATGGAAAAGAGAAAGAAAAAAAAACACGCACGCAGCCAGCCATCTTGGAATCCCAGCGCGGCTCGCCCGAAAAGCCCACCAACAATCGAAACAAGCGACAAGCGAGGCAAGCGGGCTGGGCCCGAAACACGAGCAAAGTCCCACACGGCGCTTACTAGTACTTGGGAGAGGGGCGTGGTGCGTAAAGTTCTCGTCGCTTGGTTGTTTTTCTCCATCTCGGGCTCTTGCTGGTGACAGCTTTCCGGCCGTGTCCCGTTTTCATTACGCTACGGTGTTGCCCACACCTCTCTCTCTCTTTTCTCTTTTTCTCTCCATCATGAATCGTAGCACCACTAGAGACCTTCTCTTGGAGGGGGCCGCGGGGAAGCAAAATGGGGGGGACAGGTCCGTTTTGACAGGTCATAAGAAAAAAGCCCGCTAGCACTGCACAATTATATCATTGTGCCTGAAAAGGGTCCCCACGAGTTAGCGGGAAGGACAAAATAGCAAAACGTTGCGCCGGCTCTAGCGCCGGGCCGTTGACACCTGGTCAACAGTCCGCTTATTCGAGAAACCTTGTCGGCTTCCCGTCTTTGGCTTCTCGCCTTTTTCTCCCTGTCTCCCCCACTTCCACTTGCACAGCCCACTGGAGACGGCACCACGGAACCGAACAAATGAGTCGTCACCGCTCGCCAACGACAAGCACCTGACCGCAAAAAGCGATAACAGAAATAGGCGCCGGATTGAGGAGGGGGCCAAACCCTCGTGTGGCGGCCCGAGAGGAAACGTCGTCTAAAGATGAAGCCACCTGGCGCCCGAGCTGGACAAGGACCCCTGGAGTCTTTTAGCTAACCGCAGCAGAAACCCGAGGGGAAAAGGTCTTGCCATTTGTCCGCAGCGCGTCAACGCCAGGCCCAATCCGGTATCCCAGAAATGGTGGCAGGGTGGGCTGGCGGGCAGTAAAGTAGTAATAGCAACAACCCAACCCATTGGCGCCAAGCTGTGATGCGTCGTCGACGAACGAATTAGCGCACCCTCGCCCGGCCAGCTGCTGCTACACCGTGACCTCATGGTGCAGCGACCCTTCTTCCTCAGAGGGGGGGTTCGTCATCGAAAAACCTGGAACCAGTCGCGTCGCCAAAGTGGGGCGCAGACCCTCCTCCGGGCGAGATAGCCCCGAAAGAGGAGAAAAACAAAAAAGGAAGGGCGGCAGTGGAAAAGAGAAGCAGAAAGTGAAGCTGTCGTGAGTGTGTGTGTCCGAGGCACAGGAAGCCTGAGGGTTATGTGTGTGGGCTCGCGGCACGTTCCCGTGAGGCTGGGGCCAGAACTATCGACTCACCGCGTCGCATTTCAATGACCACACACAGCCAATAATCGACAAACAGCCTTACTAAAGCATACCCAACTATCACTCCCTTTTCCTACCCGAACCCCGCAGATGGGCTGTGCTGCGCGAATGCGACCAACCTCTGGTGCTTAAATCCAAAAATAAGGGCGTCGTCGTTGGGCTTCCGTGTCCTCAGGTAGGTCGAGCTAATCAAGAGTCCAAGAGAGAAACCCCCTGCGTGTGGTGATGCCCAGGCTAGCGACGCAGGGTCGAAAACGAATGAAGGACAGGAGAGAAAAAAAAGCCCCGTGATGAGGGGCGGTGCCTACCGTAGTCCTGCAGGACCTTGCAAGGTGCCTCGACTCGTATTATACTCACCCCCCCGTTGCATCGGGCCCGGCAGCTGCCACCGACCGTTTTTCGAGATTTGACGCTAGTGGTGGAGATGAAGGTAGTGGCTGAGACGACGACAACGTCAAAGTGGTAGATGTCATTGGGGGGGGGAAGGAAACGTCTTGGTGCGGGTCCCGAGAAGGGAGAAAGAAATTCTCTGATTCTGGCGTGCGGGCAAAAACACAACCGTGGATTGGCCGGCGGGAAGCCGACACAGCTGCGAATGGCCTCTCTTTTGTTTTTCTTTTCTTTTTCGCTTTCCTTCGCTCTGGTTTGTTTCCGGAGCAAACTCTCCGGCGCATACCTGCCACTGAGCTAAGCATTTGCCTGCCGGGCCGCTGCCCATGTGGGGAAAGTGGTTATCCCGGTGCTGTGGTAATGAGATGAGAAGAAGGCAAAAAGAAG